AAAGTCTTCTACAATTTTATATGCAAACTCTTTGAACTTAATTTGTGAATCATTCAAATTCAAATGAAAAGAGTCGGTCAGTTCCCTAAAATGTTCGAGAATGCGATGCAAGAGTTCCATAAATGACAGCTAATAAAAAGGGTGTGATGTAAATGTATGAATAAATAATCAGCAGGCCTCAGACATATATATGTGATTAACATACCTTTAAGAAAATTGAGGATTCACAATTAGAAAAGATACGAAAAAACATCGTATTAATATAATAAAAATCTAAGTCAATTGTTTCGTATTCTTTATCCAATAGTGCACAATAAGTTGATAGGACCTCTTCATCAACATAGCACTGTGTTATGCGTAAGCATTAATATATATTTTTAAATATATCATGAAAAATTCAATGTATTACCTTCTCGTATCTGTCAAATGTCTCTGTTCTATGCCTTTGCTCATGTGAATCAATTTTATCCATTCTATATTCATATTCATCCTTTATATATTTTACTTTTTTGCTAAGTTTATTTGCTTTAAAAATATCAATCACGTTAGGGTCGTAATTAACATAAAATTATAATGTATCATAAACACGTACTTTGGCGCTTTTGTTTAACGTAAATATACTTTCTCAACTTAACCCGTTCAAGCATAGACAAAAGTCGGTGTACTGTCTCAATCAAGCTTCGAAGAAAACTTATTAAATAATCGATAACAAAAGACGATTTAGAATTATACTTATTGAAGTATATATTTAAAACTAAAAATTAATTTGTATAGTAGATAAATTTTTTAATACCTCACTGATTGTTTAGAAGATCTTTTAACGACATCAACAATCAATTCCAAATTTTCTTTGTCGCACAAAATTCTATATTGCAGCTGTTGAACTTTGTTACGAGTTTCATGATCCTCATTCGAGTTTTTTGAACCCATTGTTTCAATCGTTCTTGACTAAAAATAGTAAAATTAAAGATATATTATAATAATTACCAATAAGTATTATATACTATGAAAAAAATTTTGCAAAGTACTAAAAAGTTACCATTTGTTTCAAGCACTCCAGCCCAATTTGAAGCTCTAGCCATAACTGCAATTGAAAGTAGCAAGCTACTATTTAGTAAAGAACGTAAATAATTTTTACGGCAAATGCTGAAATTGGCTAATGCTGAAATCTGACCTATTTTAATTTTGAAGATTTAAAAATTTTTTTAGGGTGCATTAGTTTTTAGTTCTTTTAGAGTAGAGTGGGTAAGGCTTAGAGTTATTAACAAAAGAGTATAGAAATCCAAATTTTGCATCGACTACAATCATTACCTTTTGGTCTTTGAAGTATCTAATCTTATTAAATATCAACTTAAATATTTTGTAATTCAAGATATCTAGCCAATTTTTTACCGAAACAAGATTTGAATCTTTAGTGCTTAAAAGTTGATAAAATTCAAGGAAAAACTTTGTGATATAGAAAAGGTGAACTGAATGCTGATAATTATCATGATGCTCCGATCTCAGGTCTTTTCCAACAGAGTGTACAAGCGCTTAAGGGATAAAAAAAAAATTTTTAAATAATAAATTTTAATGAAATTTTCAAAGTAAAGTTTATAATAACAAAAATTATAAATACTTGTAAATATAGTGTTTAAAAATTTAATCGCAGTAACTTTTAAACAATCACGTGTATTGTTATTAATATCAAGTCCTGGCTTCTTCTTTGGCAGCCATTCATCCTAAACAATATCTTACATTAATATATTTTAATTGTTACAAAAAACATAACATCTTTAACATACTTTTATCGGACGTTTATTCTCCTTGTCTTCAGAATTATCGGGAAGTTTGTCGGAACGCGCATTCTTTTTAGAAGTAAGAATTTCATAACCATCCTTAAATTAAGAATAACTACAATGAATTTGAATTGCACATAAATATTATTCGCATCTAAATTGATTAATTAAAAAACATAATCAAAAATAGTATACATACAGGCATCTTCACCCAATACTTTCCACTAAAGCGTTCATTAAAACGACGACGATAATCCTCCTTTTTTTTTTCCTCATTTTCTAACAGTTTTTTGGAAAATTCATTTGCTTCCTATAAAATATATAATAATAATATATTAATGGTCACACAAAGAAGCTCTTATTATAATAGAGGAATGAATTTATAAATATAACATACAGCTGTAGGATTCTCCAGAATTTCGGAAGGTTCGATACCATAAAAAATATGATAGAATATCTCTTGTACTATGATATTACATTGAAATAATTCGATAGTTTTTGAATTGAATGAACAAAAGCATTCTATTATTGTTTCTTTATAATATTGATGCACTAGATTGTACTATAATATATATATATATGTGAAAAAAAATGAGTGTTAAAAGTACAAACATTAAATTCCATTAACATAGTCTATACACTTTATATTACAAACATGCAGCCTTTTATCCTTTTTGTCTATAGCCAACAAATTCCGAAATAATGCTAGCACTAGACGAACGACCATAATGTTGCTTTCCGTGGGCTCGCTACCATTATCAACATTCCAATAGAGAATTGGAAGAGAATAAATTGCTGTTTTTAATAACTTGAATATTATGAAATATATGATTAAAAAGTTGAATGTTAAAATTATTCACCTGATTTCAATCTTCAAATGATCACTGAGCAGATTTAACAGGGTTCTGAGTGCAATGGGGTTTTTCGCAAACAATTCCTTATAAGCAAACTGAGCCTTTAAGATATCTCTTTGTAGGCACGCGTTATCATCAGCAAAGTCAACATTCTGGTCTAGATCAACGGGCGTTGTCAACAGGACAAATAACTCAGCTATCAGACATAAGTAATTTGTAAGTAATTTTTATGTTTATAATCCGTAGAAGGAAAAAAAAAAGAATATATCACTCACTTATAATAACTATTATGGACTTTGTATCATCATCCAATAGTGCACAATAAGTTGATAGGACCTCTTCATCAACATAGCACTGTGTTATGCGTAAGCATTAATATATAT